CACATAGACCTCTACCAACTTTCCTGTTCAAACTGAGGACACACAGATTTCTTAGCTGAAGTTCTTGGACAGGAAAAATAATATATAATCAGTTGGAATATGGAAGAGAACATTATGAGTTCCTTGCATACAACATGTCAGAGGGCAAATTCACTCCAGCATTGATATGGTCTTTCATTGGAAATAGGGGAGAGAAGAGAAATGGACTAAAAAACCAAGAAATCTGCCTGCTCAGAGTTATTAACTACCCAGTTCAATCTGATTTTGGTGAATAGGCTGTTGAATTATCTCATTTATTACAGCTAAACGGAAACCTCATTGTTTCTTATTCTAGCTAGAGAAGCTGGTTTATCTAGGGATAGTAGGAAAACAAATATGGAGGATTTCTGACAAGGATTTGGATTCAGGTACACGAGCAAAGCTAAAGCCTTGGCTCTGCTCTGGGCTTTTCAGATAGCCAGTGTGGGAGACATGTATTTTTAATCCTTAGCTCTCATTCTGCTGAAAAAAAAATGGGATGTAAGCACTTAATGAAGAATGGATTTCTTTCTAATGCAAATTATTGTGCATAACTGTAGCTTTGGGATCGAATTTCACATAACTTTTTTACCTGTTCAGTTCTCCATTTAGTTTTGTTGAACTCAGGACATAAAGCTGTGGGATAATAACTTCATCTTTGCACAAATACAAGCCACTTTAGGATTGTAGATGATGCCTCTTAAGTAATAAGTGTTTTTAAGTTATATTAATTATTTAACTATGTATGATGTCAGCAATATTAATGAGGTTGGGGGAATTAAATAAAGGGGGGGGGGGAATCCAACCATTTATGCTTTCATCATTCACCCCAAAAGAGAGGTATAAGACATGTTCAGTTAATCTTCTGTTTTCTTAACAAAGCAACCAGGGCCATTTTTTTTTCACTTTTTGTTATCTAGAAATGCCATTCATGTCAAACAGCATTCTTTAAATAGAAGACCTTTTCCAAAACCACGACACTTCCCAAGTGCTTCTATTTTACTTTACTTAAACTGTATATGCTGGCTTTTAAATTTTGTTGAAATAATGCAAGTGTTTTATTGTTGTTGTTGTTTTAAATATGGTAGTATGTCCTGATTATTACCTACTTCAATATTTCTCATTCTGAAAAGCCAATAGAGAGAACTATTATGGAACTATTATTATTGGAAACAACAGTTGCCTAATTTAGGTAACACCCTTGTATCTCTGTGTTTTGTATGTCCTGATTATTACCTACTTCAATATTTCTCATTCTGAAAAGCCAATAGAGAGAACTATTATGGAACTATTATTATTGGAAACAACAGTTGCCTAATTTAGGTAACACCCTTGTATCTGTGTGTTTTGTGTGTGTTTACGGTTTTTTATATGTAGTTGTTTTTATGTATTTTTTTTAATTGTTGTACTCCACCCAGAGTCACCTTGTGTGAGATGGGTAGCTATATAAATATGAAAAATACATACATACATACATACATCTGCTACTGAATGTGCCTGTCTCCTTGAGGTATGTGTATATAGAGAGAGACCTTTTGATGGAAAAGGTGTATCCTGGTATATGGGCTTTCTAAGCCACAAAG